GCCGCAACCGGCAACACCAGCAGCAACAACAACAACAACAACTGCTACTACTGCTGATGCTGTTGCTGCTGCCACGAATACCACTACTGCAACTACTACTACTACTACTACTACTACTACTACTACTACTACGAGTAGCAGCCATAACAGCAAGTAGGACTATCTGTATATAGTAGCAACTCGCAGTCCTTGCCGGTTCAGGGTCTGCAACACCAAGTCATGAAGTCCTTCACTCAACATCTACGTGCCCAAAAAGCTAAGCCCGCTGAGCGTCTGCAGCCCGACTAACCTGGAAAGGTTCATGTAAACGTTGAAATCCCACCTAAACTAACCTTTATGATCTGGCCCACCCCAAGGCCGTAAACACCCTTAACCCTAAAAGCCCATGAACCCCTATGGAATCTTTGTAGAACCCCCTCTAAAACAAGTGGGTTTTAAAATGTAGGGTTTGGGAGTTGATGGGTGTAAATAGAGGCGTGTGACGATTCGTGTGGCAGTAGCAGGTACCGCTTACAGTCCTTATCTTACATAATAATATCGCCTCAGCATACCCCCCAGTCCTAGGAATTATTCAGGTACCCTGGTAAAACCCACAGACATAGTTTCTTCCTATAAGGCTTCCTAGCGAACTCCTCCCCTCCTCGTTTTCACTCTTTCGCCTCATCCTCCCATCGCCCTCGTGAAACAGTTGAGATCTGATCCTTCTTGTACTGATGTTGCTGTGCAGCTTGCGTGAGATGAATCACTTTGACTGTATCTCGCTCTCTATGTTTAAACTTCTGTCAATCAAAGCTCTCCAACCTCAGCGGCACCATCGTGATCACTACAGTGATGTTGGCCGTCATGACAGTCATCATCGCATCATCAGCATCACCATCGCTATCGGCATCCACATCGGCACCGTCATCGTCATCCCCACCAACGCATTGTCATCAGCATCATCGTCATCATCACCGTCATCATCTGCGTCATCACCAGCGTCATCATCAGTCTTGATGTTCGTCAACGTAATCATTATCATCATCATCATCACCATCATCATCATCATCAGCAGAAGCATCATCAGCATCATCATCGCCGTCATCATCATCGGCTACGTGTACTTAGGCTGGATTTGGGACAACAACCAGATCACGATTGAGGGCAACACCTCGTCTTTCCGGCATGTCTGCCTTCCGGGTGAAGAGATAGGGGCTCTAGCACTAGAATAGACTCTACAAGCCCTAAACCCGGAAAATGCTGAGCATGACAAACAGGGCGACCTGTCACGACAAGGGCAATAGCAAGGGCGATTTCGTCAAGATTGAGAGTTCGGTGACTGATGGGGCGGGGTGGTGGCGACAGGGAGTTTGTAGTGCTCCTTTGGTGTGGCGGCAATACGTCTGCATCGTCAACTACCGGGTGCTGCAAGTTGTCGTCCTTCGTTGTCTCACCATGTGTAAGCCCAGTTTTGCAGGCGCTTCGGAAAGCAGGAGCCGATACACATTAAGAGAACCTACATCCTACACCAACAACAAAAGCGCAAGGGCTGAATCGTCACTGGGCCTGCAGATGCAACGAAGCACCGAGTGGATTGGACTTGGGTTTGTGTAGGGGTTTGGGGCTTTGCTGATTTCGGGCTTCTTCCTTTCAGGGTTCGGGTTTAGGGCTTCAGATGCCATGTGCGGCCTCGTTCTGATCATCCCACGGTTGGTGCGAGAAGCTTGAGCTACTCAACCCCAGACGCCAGCTAAACCCCAAACCCGAAACGCTAAACCTTAAACCTTAAACCCCAAACCCTAAACCCTAAACCCTGAACATCCTACCTCTGAAGCCCTAAAGCCCCAAAAAACCCAAAAACGAAGCCCTAAACCCTAGACCAGCCAAGCCCAGAACCTTAAGCCCCAGGATCCGAAGCTCTATGTAAGCCCTAAGCCCTGAATCCGATAGCCTTAAGCCCGAGGTTCTGGATTTAAGGTTTAGGGTTTAGGGTTTGAAGTTTAGGGTTTAGGGTTTAGGGTTTAGGGATCGTTTAAGAGTGCTTTCCGAAGGTTGCAAGGGCCTACCTGGGGTTGAGGGTTTAGGGTTGTGGTTCTGGTGTCCCAAGTAGCGGGCTGAAGCATACCATACTCCATACTCTACTGACTGGGGCCAGTATGACACACAATCCCTGTTCGAGTTGCTCCTTAAAACTTCAAACCGAAACCGTGTTCGAGTTACTTCTTCGAGCCCTTAAGGACTCGTTAGTTGCCCTAAACCCTAAACTTTAAACCCTGAAAGCCCTGAGACCTAAACCCTTTTCGACCTATTCCTGTGAGGGCTTTCGGATGTCTAGGCCGCACGGACCGACTGTGCTGCGGAGGGTGTTGGGACTCGTTAGTTGCCCTAAACCCTAAACTTTATAAACCCTGAACCCTAAACCCCAAACCCTAAACCGTAAATCCTAAACCCTAAACTTTAAACCCTGAACCCTAAACCCTAAACCGTAAATCCTAAACCCTACACTATAAACCCTGAACCCTGAACCCTAAACCCCAAAACCTAAACCCTAAACCCTAAACTTTAAACCCTCAACCCCAAACCCTAAACCGTAAATCCTAAACCCTAAACTATAAACCCTGAACCCTAAACCCCAAAGCCTAAACCCTAAACCCTAAACTATAAACCCTGAACCCCAAAACCTAAACCCTAAACCGTAAACCCTAAACCCTAAAACCTAAACCCTGAACCCTGGATTTCGGGTTTGGGGCTCATGGGTCAAGGGTTTCGGGATCTACAGCTTAGGGTTTAGGGTTTAGGGTTTAGGGTTTAGGGTTCAGGGTTTAGGGTTTAGGGTTAAGGGTTTCTTGGGTTTCAGTCTTTGGCTTCGGGGTTTACCTTCACCCCCAAATAGCTTTTCTTGCGGGCAGCATAGCAAGGAACCTGAACCCTAAAAAGGTAGGTTGTTTGGGGTCCAGGTAGGGACTAACGCTTGGAATGTGGTGTTGATGGGTTTTCAAGGCGAGGAAGGAACGACTGAAGCCATCGGTTTCTTGCGGCGAAGTACAGGTCTCAAACCCTACTCTAACTAACTCCTGAACCCTGATAAGACCCTTATGGGACCCTGATAGAACTCTTTATCAAAACTTTATGGGGCTCTCACAGAACCCCATGAACCGTTTATCAGAGCCCTATGAAGCCTTTAATAAAGCGGATCCCCAGAACCTTTCTTTCTGGATCAGGCGTCCGGTCTTTCCGCTTCGCTTTGGGGTATAGGGGTTCAGGGTTTAGGGTTGGGGTTCAGGGTTTGGGGTTCAGGGTTTGGGGTTCAGGGTTTGGGGTTGGGGGTTTCTGCGCCAGGTGGGCGATCTCTGAAGACATCACCACCCGCTTCATCGCTTACGGCTGGAACGTGCTGCGCGTCGGGGATGCCAACGATGTGGAGGCTCAGAAAAGCTAGCCGTGACCAATAAGCTTTATGCCAACCACAAGACCTACATGTGGACTGTCATTTTGGGGCCTTGATAATGAGAATAGGATTTGGGGTATATTGTACTATA